TTCCATTTTCATTGGATTCAGATTTTTTTTTTATTTCTCTTTTGATTTCATCTTTGACCCATTGATTGTTCAGGAAAGTGTTGCTTAATTTCCACATATTTGTGGATTTTCTAGCTTTCCTATAATTGATTTCCAGTTTCATATTATTGTGGTTGGAAGACATACTTGATATGATTTATTATACTTGCTAAGACTTATTTTGTGGCCTATCATATGACTTATCCTGAAAAATATTCCATGGGCACTTGAGAAGAATGTATTTTCTTTTGCTGTTGGATGGAATCTTCTGTATATATCTATTAGGTCCATTTCATCTAACGTATAGTTCAAATCTGATGTTTCATTATTGATTTTGTGTCTAGATAACCTATCCATTGTATAATGTGGGGTATTGAAATCCCCTACTATTATTGGACTGTTGTCTATTTCTCCCTTCATATCTGTTAGTATTTTCTTAATACATTTAGGTGCTCTGATGTTGAGTGCATGTATATTTATGATTGTTTTATTCTCTTGATAAATTGATGACTTTATCATTATATAATGACCATCTTAGTCTCTTCTTACAGTTTTTGGCTTAAAGGCTATTTTTTCTGATATGAGTATGGCTACCTCTGCTCTCCTTTGGTTTTCATTTGCATGGAATATCTTTTCCAGTCCTTTCACTTTGAGCCTCTGTGCATCCTTAAACCTAAAGTGAGTCTCTTGTAAGTAGCATATAGTTGGGTCTTGTTTTTAATCCATCCAGTCACACTATGCCTTTTGATTTCCAGAATATAATCCATTTGCATTGAGTAATTATTGATAGGTAAGGGGTTACTAATGCCATCTTATTAATTGTTTTCTGGCTGTTTTATAGTTTCCTTATTTCTTTTTCCCTCTCTTGCTGCTTTCTCTTGTCAGTTGACGATTTTTCATGGTGGTATGCTTTTATTCCCTTCTCTTTATCTTTTGATATCTACTGTAGGTTTTTGTTTTGTTTTTACCATGAGGCTCACATTAAACATCTTATAGATATAACAGTCTATTTTGTGCTAACAACTTAAATTTGATCACCTACAAAAACTCTAATCTTTTACTCCTCTCTTTCATATTTTTGTTGTCACAATTTACCTTTCTTTACATTCTATATTCATTAACAAGTTATTTTGCTATAGTTATTTTTAATACTTTTGTCCTTTAAATTTATACTAAAGTCATTAACACACCACCATATTACTGTATTAGAGTATTCTGAACTTGACTACTTAACTTCACCAGTGTTTTGTATGTTTTTATACGTTTTCATGTTACTAATTAGTGTCATTTCATTTCAGCTTGGTTAAGTCCTTTCAGTATTTTTTATAAGACAGGTCTAGTGGTGATGGGCTCCCTCAGCTTTTGTTTGTCAAGGAAAGTGTTTATCTTTCCTTCATTTATGAAGGACAATTTTGCCAGATAGGGTATTCTTGGTTGGCAGAATTTTTCCTCTTAGCACTTTGAATATATCCTCCCCCTCTCTCCTGGTCTATAAGATTTTTTGCTGAGAAATTCTCCTATAGCCTTATTGGGGTTCCCTTTTAAGTGACAAGCTTTTTATTTCTTGCTGCTTTTAATATTTTCTCTTTGTCTTTGATTTTTGAAAGTTTAATTATAAGTATTTTGGGGAAATCTCTTTGAGTTTCTTTGGTGACTGATGAGCTTCATGAACTTGGATATCCATATCTCTTCCCAGATTTGGGAAGTTCTCCACCATTATTTCTTTTTTTGCTGAGGAAGATTGGCCCTGAGCTAACATCTGTGCCCATCTTCCTCTACTTTATATGTGGGACATCTGCCACAGCATGGCTTGATAAGTGGTGCATAGGTCTGTACCCAAGATCTGAACTGGTGAACCCTAGGCGGCTGAACCAGAGCATGCAATCTTAACTGCTGTGCCACCAGGCCAGCCCACCCATTATTTCTTTAATAATCTTTCTGCTCCCTTCTCTCTTGCTTCTCCTTCTGGGACTCCAATAACTTGCAGATTTTTTCTTTTGATGGTGTCCCATAAATCACATAGGCTTTCTTCATTCTTTTTTCTTTTTTCTCCCTCTAACTGAATAATTTCAAAGATCCTGTCTTCTAATTCACAGATTCTTCCTTCTGCTTGATTCATTTTGATGTCGATGGTCTCTACTGCATTTTAAAATTTCATTCATTGTGTTCTTCAGCTCCAGCACTTCTCTTTGGTTCTTTTTTATGATTTCCAGCTCTTTATTAAACTTCTTATTTTGCTCCTCTGTTGTTTTCCTGATTTTGTTGACTTGCCTTTCTATGCTTTCTTGTAGCGCATTAAGCTTCCTTAAAATAACTATTTTGAACCCTTTATTGGGTAAATTTCAGATCGCCAAGTCTTTGGAGGAGGTTACTAGAAGATTATCATGATTCTTTGGTGGTGTCATATTTCCTTGATTTTTCTCGTTTTTGGAAGTTTGCATTGTATCTTCATGTTTATAGTATCAGCCATCTCCTATAGTCTTTAATAACTGACTTTGGAAAAGAAATATCTTCCGTCAGCTCTGCTGGGGATTCTGAAGCTTTCTCAGGCAATCTATGGATATGCCTGCTCCATGCTGTCTCCTGTGGCAGTATTCTTAGGCTTGATTGCCTTCTCTCAATTCTTCAATGCATGAGGCCAAGTGGTGACACCTCTCTTTTGCCTACCCAAGGGCAGCACTAAGGCTCAAGTTTGTGGTCTCTCCCTGACCCTTAGAGAGAGCTTTCTCCTAGCTTGGGAAAGCTTTCTCCACATGTTCTCTAGCCATCTATCAAAGCTCACTCTTGCCAACGTTAGGAGCATGCCAAGAGAGCTGGCCATAGGATATGTGGGTGTGTGGGTGAGGGACATGGAATGCTGAGGATGGCTGTGGGCCAGTGGGGGAGTCCGTGGGTGAAGATTCATCAGCAGTTCAAGGGAAAGCTTCTTAATAGAGCCTGCAACTAGTTAGTAGGATCTGTGTCTTTTTAATGCCCTCCTAGAGTCCTATCTGGCTCTCTCCCAGCCTCTTCCAGCACCCCAAGTCACACAGCTCATGATTTAGTACTCTGGATGGAGCAAGAGAGAACTGGGCCTCTTTGGCAATGTTGCACACATCATGGGAGCTGAGTGCTCACTTATACACACTTACTTTCCCCTGTGGAAGAAATCATGGGGTAAGAAGGTCTCACTCGGCACTGAGTTGTGCTGCCTTTGGGGAGAGGTTACACAGGTAAAGTCAAACTATTTCTTTTACGCTCTCTAATGCATCATATTTTTAACTCTAATGCTGTGCTTGAACTTCTCTGTTGGAAACCCATACTTCCACAAAGACTCTCAAGTTCTTGGTTGATTGTTTAAGGCAGTGTCCTCTAGGGGCTCCTGGAACGTGGCTGAGAGGGTCTGAATCTGGGTCATGGGCCCCTGCAAGATGCACAGCCAGGATTGAGGTCTGTATGACTATTACCCAATGCACAGGTGGTCAAGACTCCTTATGGTCCCTTGATGTATAGTACTTGATCCCACAGCTCCCACAAAGCCACTATTTTCCATGGATGGATGCCAAATTGTTGTTGTTGAGGCAGGGGATATGACAAGGACGTCTTATTAGCCATGTTGCGGACATCACTCTTTAAGGAACTTTTGAAATAATGGAACCTAGGAGTTCTTTGGTAATTGTTCTCTTCATGTGGCTAATCTGGGTTATTCACAAGATGGCTAAAGCTGAATAAATATGTGAGTCCAACCATCTTTCCTGACTAATGTTAACCAAGTGACTAGGATCAGTTGATGCAACTGGTAGCATAGAACTGCCTCAGATGTCAACTAAGCCCTTGATAATGATCTGAGCTGATGTGTAGATCAGGGCACTGTACATGTAATTCAAAGTATTGGTAATGCATATTCCCAGGTGTAGCCCAACCAGATCACATTGTTTTATCAAAGCCATAATGTTACTCTCTGAATGCTTAGTGTAAACAGAGAGGTGTTGGAACAACCTTGTATAACTGAATGTTTTTGTTTCCAAGTTAGTTCTTCTTAGGTAGCTTGTTTCTTAGGTTATTCGTGCAAAGGTAGGCTGTACTGGAGGAAGGGAATGGGGGAGGGAAAGCAGATACAGGGAACTGTATAGAAAAAATGCCACTAAAGAAGACATGGGTGAGCTAGGTTAGTGGGGTTATTTAGTCATACAGACTTTCTCATTGACAGTTTGGGAACCTGCCCTAACACTGCTATGTTTATTAATGAAAATAGTCTATGCTTATACTCATAAATTCCAATTTGATTCCCAGTGTTCTGGAGCTCAGATCACCCTATGTCATGGACTTTACCTGACTGATTATCCTTTAATATTTTTAAAGACAAGAAATGATGAGTCATTAATATAGATGCTCCTAGTATGCAATGTTTGGAAGAATGATTCTGTATGTGGCTGGGAAAAAAGACATGTATTAATGTGAAAATGATCAGGAGGCCAGGGTGTCTGAAGGGTTTGTAAAACAGCAGTGTTGAGATACGTGAGAGAAGTGACAGCAAACACATTGTAATGAATTTACTGCCCTTGTGCTGTTGTGATAGAGGACGATTACTTCTTACTAGTGAATTACGCCATGGAATATTGATTTCCTTGTTCAGAACTAGAGCTGGGCAAATGGTTTGCCTGACCCTCTTATACACATGCTGTGCTTGTGTTGGCTCAATCAAATGCTTAGTAGATGAAAAAGATATTTCACCCTTGGAGGGGGGGCATCCTGTACCCTGAATATGAGGAAGAAAATGCTGGCGAGAAAGATGAATTATCCTGATATTCTGGAACCCTAACACATTGAGCGTTTGGTGAATTAGGTTTTATTAAGTAAAATGTCCTGACCACCTTAGTCCTAAAAGGCATAGTATAAAAACAGTGCTGAGTTGATTTCCTTGGCTCACTGTGGGCTATGAGCTTTTTGGCTGACAGGAGGAGTCAGAATCACTAATTATTACAAACAAAATCACAAACAGGTTTGGTTTTACCGAAACTGGTATAATTGTCAGAGTAAGGAACATACAGTGAGAAGAGTCAGTTAGCAAAAAGAATTTGGGGACAAAGAGCTTGTGCGTTAGATCATTATGGGTTTGATTCCTAGATGATGGGCTCTAATCTATATGAGACTCCCTGGGTGACTCCAGAGTGTGCTCTGCTTTTTGTTTATTTAGTTAAAAATCACAGCATGTAGCACATAATTCTTATCAAGTATATTTGAGAAATATAAGCAGCCTATAGAAAAAAATCCAGGATGAAACTTCACGGTGGGATGTTTTAACATGGAGCTCACTGGCATGTCTGGAACAGCCCACAAACCATCTGAGATCTTCTAGAGCATTTTGTGCATTTGTACTTGTTCGGATTTCTGGTCTTGATAGTGTGTCTGTATTTTTCTTCTCAAAGAGTAGCCTAACATCCAAAGGTTTGAGAATGGTAGCCTTTTCAATCTTGATGTCATGCCAGAAAAAACAGGCCCCTTCCTAGTCAAGTGTGAATAGTATCCCTTACATGTCTCCACATGGCCAATGCCTGCCCAAAGGCTTTGCCTTGGTTTCAAACATGGAATATTCTTATTTCTAGAGGTAGATGTGAACTACAGAAGAAGGCAGAAGGAGGATTTCAGACCTTGGGAGGCTTTCCGAGACCAGCTTGTCAACATCAATTTTACTAACTGGGAAATCGAGGCCCTGGAAGGTGCAATGAACTGTGCAGATCCCACAGCAAATCTGAGGCTGTGTTTGGGCTGGACTGCATCCTTTGGCTGCTGGTTTCACATTCTCGCTACTCTACCTATACCCATTCCTCAAAAAGATGAGGGGAAATTTGCAAGCAATAGCACATGCTACTTTTAATACGTGAAATCTGATTGTATTTTGTCAAGAGCGTGCCTCGCAATGGTGCTCACAGCGACTAGTGAGTAAGCAGGAAGGGCCTCTCCTCTCCACTCTGAGAAGTTAACTCTCAGCACCACAGAACACACTTGATGTATGTATACATAGACTCCATCACACAGATTAAAGGATGTCTTATTTTTTTGCATTCTTCTCTATTTTATCTTTTTATTTTCATTTTTCTTGTTTGTTAAACTCTAAGATGGACACGTAAAGAAAAGAATTTTGTATCTAACAAACAGCATGTATTGCTCTACATTTTACTTCCTGTCTGTCTTCCTTTCCAAGTAGTCAATATGAATGAGAAAAATTGTGGACAAGAGTGAAAAAAATGACATGTGCTGGCTTGAATCGATGACTTGATCAAGCATTTATTTTCTTTGTCCTCCTCTTTCTCCTTCATCCTTCCAAGGGAAGACAAGGACTCTTCACCCACACGTGTGCTACATGGCTTGTGCTTTTCTTCCCTTTTGAGTTTACAGAGTGCAGAATAGGTGGCTTCATGGCCCCATCTGGTCCTTCATCAGCTCTGCAAGTGATGCTTAAGAAGAAACTGAAGCTTAAGAGAGTGGCCGGGCACAAACATTTGGGGGAAGGGACCAGGGCTCACGCATCTTCAAACGCCAAACTCAGTCTGAGCTCTGCCTACTGCCTCTTCCATCCTCATGCTCTTCACAGAGGAATTAAAAATGAAGCACAGAGTCTAGGGGGCAGGATGAAAGGTGAGGGGGACATGGTGAACTTAGAATGGAACCAAAAATACACAAATACGTCAAATGAGACCTGCACAAACCTTTCTGGGTCCTCGAGCAGAATGCTTATCAGGACGATAAGTGATATGATCATTAAAAACCTTATCTGGAGACTCTTCTTTTCATTACTGTCTCCCGTTATTTTAAAGATGAATCTTGGGAATAACAGGTGTCATCTGTTTTGAATAATTAAGTAATTAAGTAATTACAGTAGATACCATACACACACATACACATACACACACACACACACACATTCCTCGTGGGAACTTGGAGAATTTTTCCTAGTTCCAACGTGTCCCCTAGACTTTCTGATGTGTGGCCGTTTATTTTCTCCTGTTTTACTTGTGTCACACAGAGAGCAAAACTGAATAGCAGCTTGGGGCTAACATCATTTCCCGTTCCAGAAAAAGCCACTGTCTTTTATCAGACAACACTCCATTCCGAGGGCTGGAGCTTCCATCCCTCAAGTCCTCCTTAAGGAGTCACTTGAAACCTGCAGAAACGGCAGCTCTGATTATGTGTTTTCCCTTCTCATGAGCCGTTCTGGAAACAAAGACAAATGCATTGGCTATAGAACTTGCCCAGATTCACACCTTCAACTGTCACTTACCAAAAATGCAGCTTTCTCAATTGTTTCTTGCAGAAATCTTCTAAAATCTGGAATTACCTGAATATTGAATTTTAAAGACTGAAAAAGATGAACAATCTTCCATCATAACACCTTGTATAAAAGATAAAGAAAGGGAACCCCACCAGCTAGTGATAGAATCTGGACTAGAACCTAGTTCTACTGATTATCACTTCAGTTCTGTATCCAAAATACTGCATTGACACTAAGAAATTCCAAAATCAGGTTCACTAGAAGCCATATACGTGCTATGACCATAGCCAAGTTATGTTTCTAGGAAGCTCTAATCAAATAGATATTCTGGCAGAGGAATAATCCATTTTCAAATACTGCTAGTGATCCCCAAAGCATGGAATCGCACTCACATACTTTCACAATACGCCAGAGGCAGGTGTTTTAAGTTACATGGAGGCTTGCATGGGAGCAAAATCGACACTCAAAACACTAAAGCGAAACCAAGCCTTCATCATAAAGGATGATGCACCAAAATGCATCAAACATAAATTGCAAGAAGTGATCTTAACTTGAGCTAAGGAATTAAGGAATCTTTCCTTCAGAAAGCCATGTTGTTCTAGTCACATGATATAGATATGATGGGAGAGATATGGAGTTGTAGGAGACAGGGAAATGAGAATGAAGATGCAGAGTCAGAGACCTCGTTACTCACAGATCATGGGGATATTAATTTGCATTTATTGCCTTGGAGGAAGACAGAGTTGGACGCTCATGGACAACGAGTCTGAATTAAGTGCAGAGAGATGTAAGAACTAGTGCTTCGGAGTGGCCTGATTGGGCAGTTATGGGATGACAAAAGAGACACTACCTTACAGTCATGTCCCAAGGAGCAAGTTCTGAACCAAATTACTTCTGGAATTTGGCTTAAAACTTAAAAAATTGCTGGAAAGAGGTACTACCTAGTTCCTCTCTCAGATACCACTAATCTTAATTCTTTTAAGTTGCCTGTCTGAAGAAGGGCAAATGATTAGCATGTGCAGATGTGTTCGGCCAGTAGCAGCACGACTGCGTGTAGGCTCGTCATAAGCAGGGACCATCTACTCTGCCACATCTCTCCTTTTGCATAGGTTTTTCTCCTCTAATGAGAAGCACCTCAAACTTTTACCATTGTGAGAATAGAAAATGTGGATGTTTTGCTGATGCCAGATTTTACAATTTTTATCAAACAAATCCACACATTAAAGGGACAATCCTGTGATTGATCAGGGTGACTCTCTTCCCTTCTAAACTCATGGTTCAGAGCTGTAAGATAAAGATGGGGCCACTCCAAAGGAGTGAGCTAAATCTCAATCATATTTTAGTGTTAATTCATTTGCTAACTTATCTCCAGCTTGAAGAACCAATAACTGCCATTCATCATCACCATCATTATCACCATCCACAGCAACAAAAATGAAAATTTATGGGTCACTGACTGTGAAAATAGCTCCAGCTTTGCAAGTCCCACTCATCAGAAGGCGTTCCTTGGACAAGTACTGACAAGTCTTCAGGTTAGACACCTGAGCCCACTGTGTGGAAGGATTTATGGGGGAGTTTTAACTGCAGGAACTTGGAGCCATTCACATCTGTGTGGCTAGAGCGCAGATATTCTGTTGACAGAAGATGATTGGGATTCTACAGGAATGTTTGGAGTGGCTAGGGCTTGAAAATCCCCCATTACCAGCCCTACACATATGAGAAACAATTATGGGATAAAATCTCCCAAACCTAAATCACTGTTCCCCCAAGAAACATCCTAAAATTAGGGTACTGAATGAATCCTAAAGTATGACAGTGACTTGAGTCTCAGGGAGTCTAGCACATGTGCAATCCAGGCCAGCCTGTATTAATGGTCTTCCATCACAAACTGTGTCAAGAAAAGTAACTGTAGGCACTATTCAGGATGCCTTTCTTCACTCGCTGTAATGAACACTCTTGCTAAGCTCCTGTTTCCTGAGAAGATATGGGCCTGAGAATTGTCCCTATAAGCTCTTATCAAAGCCATATCCTCCTGGACATGGAACTCTAGATCTGGTTGAAGGCCTTTCTTGTGGGCACCTGGATGCTCCCTTTAAAGACTGAAACTCAGCAGATTGGAGGTCACATGGTACCCTATGCAGGAGATGAGAGGAAACCCCTCTTGGGGCAGGATAGAGAGTTCTCCTATCCGTTGAAGCCGTGAGTCATGGCAAAGCTGGTTCTACAAGAGATATGCTCTTGAATAACCAGAGCTCTAAAGAACCTCAAGACAAGAAGGACAATTGAGTTGGCAAACAGGGAAAGTGAAGTCTTCCTGATAAATGCCACTTTACAGAGCTGGCCATGACTGACCAGTTACTCCTAGCAGGATGGTGATAGACTGATCTAAAGCATGCTTACTAATGTGAAAGAGAAAGCTCTGACTCAAATGGAGGTGATGCACCGCTATGTTCTCCCGTCCCAGTAAAGTATAGGAAGTGTCTCTTTGCAGACGCCTTGGTATATTTTATTCAGAGGTGCTCTGGGCTCAAGTTTAGCAATATGGAAATTACCTGTGTTTTCCCCACACTATTGCAATGAACCATGATCTCACCCAAATCCTCTGGTCAGTGTCTGAAGAAGTTGAGGCATGGGAGAGCTAATAATTCTCACCCACCCACTTTCACTCTAAGGAGACTCAAAGCTTCTTGCTTTTAGCAGTTCTGGGGCATAAGGGAGGAATGACACCAACACAGCCAAAATCTGTGAGGCTTGGCCACGGTGTTCCAGAGCATGCCGCCAGGAAGGAGTTGGGATATCTGATACCTGGCGGTGGGGGTGGAAGGTCAGAAGGGCACAGAGAAACATGAAATCAACAATCTTTTCTCAACTTTGCTAGCAGCAGCTGGAAATGAAATTACTCCTTTCCAAACATTTCCTACTTTCAGGTGGAATTGACCCCTGAAGACATAAGTTCAGTAATTCCTGAGTGTTTTGGCTCTCACCTCATTTCTGCCTCTCAGTGAATCTTCGGCTACTTATTTAATTCCCAGAATTAATCAGAACAATTTAGAATTATTTGAATACTATTTTGTATTAAAATCTACCTTTCCTCTTAACTTGTGGTTGGAGGCCAGGCTTGGGGAACAGGCACGGAGGGAAGACACTCCCCAGAGCACTGCTTGATGGGATTTAGGATTATTCGATACCAACCCACAACGTTTCAAGCTTTTTCTTTTTTGTGAGAGCTGCACTATGCTGCCTCCCTGAAATAATCACATGTAAAAGCCTTTCCCTAACTGGACTCGACATTTAGCCCAGGTTACGAGGTGAGGTGTTTGGATTCAAGCAGGATGCTGCCGGCCTCAGCCAGGACCTTCTGACACAGTCCCCATGAGACACGCCCTCCTTGATTCCTTTAGGAGGGTGAAGGTGGTTTCCCGCACCCCTGTCTGTCACAAGCGCACATTCCACAGAAACAGGCCCACTCCACCCCCAGGAGGGGCCTAAAGAGCAGGAGCTTGAGTCTGGAGCCCATCCCCTCCACGGTCTTCACACCTGAGCCAGGCAGGCTCTGCTCCCCTCACCCCCACTTGAGAATGATGTACCACACCAGGTGAAGAGGGACATGGAACACTTTTTAATGTCAAGTCAGAGACAACCCCTCCCTCCCCCAGCCCCCAATCCCACTTTCCCTCATCACATCCAGGACCCCTCCCCGAGGCCTCTCTGGTTCCCAGACTTCGGGGGAGGAAAAAAAGGGTACCTAAAAACTGCATTTTCTTCTCTTTCATACACACGCACACAAAGGTGGGAAATTAAATAAAATAAACCAAGAGGATTCAATTCTCCAGTGGTCACGAAGGCATCAGAGATTCCCATAATGGGCTGAAACAAGCGGTTACTGACTGTTTAGCTGTTCAGGTGCTTGCTGTTTGTTCATGCCCCGAGGCACGATGGAGAAGGGAGGCCTCCTGCGGCGGCCTTTGCCTTGAGAGAGCCACACCTGGAAAAGATGCTGTGCCTGGTATTAGTGTTTTGTTTTTTTTTCTCTTTTCACTTTTTATAAATGTCTCTGACATGTAAATAACCCAAGAAAATAAAAAGGCAGGAGCTGATTACACAATTACCAGTAAACTCTATCATCTTTTAAAAGATCAACACACAGCTAACGCCATATACAGCATGCAGTAATGTCTGAGAAAGGACCCTGCTGAGAAATAAAATGGCTAGAACTCTAACAAAAAAAATATATGTGTCTATATACTGTATAATATATGTCATCAAAAGAAGCATAGCCAACAAACTGAAGATACAGTGCAGATCACCCTTCCATTTCTAAACAGCGTGAGGAAGCATAGTATTGTCTGCAGTAAATGCCAGAATAAGGAGAAATCTGTAGCGCTGGTGGAGATGTTGGTTAAATCACATGTGTTTTTTTTGGTGGATTTGCCAAATCCTCACCAGGTGGTTAATGCCCGGTGTGTGGTCCACCAGTTGTAAACCTAGTTAAGAAGTACACTATTCATTTTTAATGTTTAACAAACATACTCCTCTTCACTCCTTTCATTTGTGTATTTTTTTAGTTTTGTCTTGTTTTTGCACTAAGTTCTAGACTCATATCAGAAAATATAATTAATAAAATTAATAATGAATCAGAATCCCTTATTATCCATGATGTCCATGTAGTAAAATGAAAAAAAAAGTTTAATAACATCTTTTGTGACTGTTGATTGTGGGATTGTTGTAGCTGTCAGGCTGTCTTGTTTAGTTTCCTTTTTCTTTATTTTTTTTTAAATTTTGCGTTTCATAACACACACAATAGTGCACAGTCTACGAAAGGGGCCACAGGGGCACATGTGGGCCCGCACGTCTCACTGTGTTCGTCTCTATGGACTGATTGAATTTGGGATGCCCGACTGCAAAATTTTCCTTGGTGGGGCACTTTAGCGGGCAGAGCGGCTGAGCCCTTGCCCACCTGGTAACAAAGAGGTCACGCAATGCAGCTTGCAGGTGGGTCCAAAGCCAGGTGTGCGTTCTTCCATTTAGGAAAAGAAAGAAAACTCAGCTCTACCTACATATCTGCAAGGCGACTTTGAATTTCATTTTTAAACTTGTTTTCCCAAAGTATTCTTTGTCCCCTCCCTCGAATTTGTGTCCCATTGGGCTCTGTTTCTTGGAATTTCATTTGATGGTGTTGTATTTAGAAACGGGTTTGCTCTTGCTGCTGTCGGAGTTGCTTTGCTCTTCTGTTGGTGGGTGGAGTGGCGGCAGCATTTCCCCAGCGGGAGAGTGGCACTCACATCAAAACTTGAGGAGTTGGTGCAAGACCAGAAGAGGTAGCAGCCAAATGCAGCCTGCCCTCCTCGACGTCCCGTTGTTCACTTCGCTGACTGCACCCGGGCCTGTGGAGAGAACACATTTGTCAGGAGCCACCTGGTATAAGATGGAACCTCTGTTGCCTGGTCAGCTTTCATTAGGCCTTGCCTCTGACAAAGCATCCCTCTAACTGGGAGCATTTGGTGTTCCAGCTGCTTACATAGGGGCTGCATTAGAAATTAACCTTCTACAGCTTCAATCCCCTGGATGCACAATCTATAACAGGGAGCGTTCCCATGCAAAGAGAGAACATGAGGCTAGGGTCAAGGTGGGATGGTGGCCAGTACACCTTTATTGTGTCATAACATGCTAAGGCCAGGGCTCAGGGTCAAGTTCAAGAAGAAGGTGGCAGTTTAATTAATAGCCTACATAGAGCTGCAATAAAGTAAGACGACTGCATCGTTTGCATCACCATCCAATCACTTCTGAGCACTGCCTGACTTAAACATTCATACAACATTCCAGCTGCTCAACCTGTTATGCAGGAAAGGACCTGTTGGATGCAGCAGTCTGTCCCCCTGCTGCTGCTGCATGGGCTCACTGTCCATTATGTCAATCACTCTTTCTCAGGGCAGTGTACTGGGCTTCCACCTGGAGCACTTGACCTCTTCACCATCTGGACGAGGCAACAGCAGACCTAGTTCAAGTATTACATGCCTGAAGAGCCAAAACCAGTCTGCGTGAAGTGGAGGTGGGATCAAGTGAAGGAATAAGAGGCCTTTTGCTATGTATGTGGAAGTAAGGGAATATATGTGCAAAATTGGATGCAGAACCCACCATAGTGTATGTCTTTGGGTGGGAGATGGATGACACCTTTCCCTAAGAGGCACACACCAATCTGGCCTGCAAACAGATACTCTGAGATGGAGCCAAAGGCAGGAGGCAAAAAACTTTGAGGTCATAAAACTCCCCAGAAGCTTCCTTATCATTTGAAGCATAAGCTTTCTGGCTACCTTGACCCCATGGCCAAGAACACCCATAACAAACGGAGCTAAGATTCATGAACCATACCCACAAGTTTGGATGCCCAGATGAATTAGGTACCTAATGAAGCAGGGAACCTTCTCAGAGTGGACTTGCTCTGGCATGCTCTGTTGCATTGAATTTAATGAAGGTATTTAAGGCTGGTGTCCTCCTTGAGTCCATGTCCTCACTGGGGTGAAGGAATAAAGCCGGAACCTGCTTGCCTGACTTGAATGCTGAGCATTGGAGACACTTCTGGCTAATGCAGATCAGCATCAAACCAAGCTTCATTGATTCCACATGGGATGACTCCATCATGTCCTAGAACTCTTGGCCTGGAAATGCTGTCCATATGATTTTATTTCTTAGATGTTGGGGACAAATCTGTCATTCTGGGGCAGTGGCTAAATAGATAGTCATGAGTTTGAAATACACCAGGTCATCTAACCTCATGCATCTCTGATGTCTGGTTTTCAGTATTTCCAAGGCCAGGACTTCCTGGCAGTGCAAGTTCTCATGATGAGAAGCAGAAGAGACACCTATTCTGCTCTCCCTCCTGAAGGGAGGTGACCTTCTGGGCAACACAAAACTGAAGGCATCTGCCATGCAGTGCCCTCCTGCTCCCAGTCCATGGTGGGATACAGATGATAAAGGAGCATTTCGGTAAAGTTCTCGATGACTTCCATTTCAATTTCAGAGGTGCTTACTATCTACCACTGGTCACTAATTGGTTGTATCTTCTAAAATCTAATTACTATGTTTCTATATCAACCACCACCAGGAACTCCCTCTTTGATATGCACTCACTCTGTTATTACACAGCATCCTTTGGAATGCCAGGAGAGAAGCCCCTCCTCGATGCCTTCTCAGGTGAGAAGTTATGTTTCTGCCCTATGAGGAAGCCCTTCTTGCCCTGGGCCACGGCAAGGTCTTTCACACCAAGACCCTTGCCTGTGCCTGAGGCTGCCTCTAAGACACAAAGGCTGTTTCTGAGTCCACTGGACCAGTAGGCCTTTGTGGGGGCTTGGTTCCATGTTTAAGCTGGGCAGAGTTAGTGGCTGCATTCTCTCCTCCCATGTGTGCACTGCAGAGTGATTCCAAATGTGTTCTGCACACCTGGCACACTGTGCTCCTGGCCAGGTACACATCCATTGGCACATGGCTCTTTTTCTCCTTCATCTCTTTTGCTGTCCTGATCGCTTAAACTCACAGCTTTGAAACCACTCCATTCATCCCAGCGCATCCCCTCCCCCATCCCTGTACCCTGGCCATGGCTAAGAAGATGCCCTGAAAAGAGAAGGGAAACAAATGCCAGTTCCATGCATTAAATGCTCTCTGCTTCTCCCCTACATTTCCTCCTTTTCGGGCTGCCCAGCCAGTGGAAGCCTCCAGGGAGGAGAATGGAGAATGCCACAAGCCAGGCGTGCAGCCCAGCAGGGACCTGGCTTGGTTACCATGTAAGGAAAGTCGGAAAACCTTGTTTGCAGGCCAGGGACTCGGCAGCGCCACAAGGGAGGTGGCTGTGAGCTGGCAAACAACCCCCAGGGCACCTCACAATGGCTGGGCGGCTCTGCAGGTGCTCTCTCTGGGCACCGTGTTAGGTCTCATTGCTGCACACCTCAGAGAGCCTTTATGTCTCTGCTGCCTGCTGGGAAGCACCACAGACAGCCTATCAGGGGATCCTGACCTGGTATGTCAGAAAACTCTGCCCATAGAAGAAATGAAAAGGCCACTGAGTACACTAGAGCTGCCTTTTGAATGTGCTGTTACCCTGGACAAGCTTGCGGGGCCTCTTTGCTGCTCCTGTCTCCTGCCCCAGGCCCACGGGCGGGCTGTCACTCACTGTGCAGGGTCACATCCAGCCTTCCTTTGCCCTCTCCACACACTCTCCCCTCACTCCACCCCTTCCTTTCCTCGAGCACGTCCAGGAAAACTGACCTGGACAAAGCTGGACAGAAGGAGGAGAAAACAAGGGTGGTCTCTGGAGAAACAGTGAGGTAGGGATACCCCAGACAATCTCTCAAAGAGGAGACTGCAACAGCTCTCCTTTCAATGTCCATAAAAGTTCACAAATTGGGCCTTGCCACCTGTGACCTTGACCCTTTGAGTTTATTCTTTATACTAATTCCAGGGTGATGTTTCCACAATTCCATATTGATCGCACTACTAAACTATTTGATTTCTGCAGCCTTCCCAGCTGCTTGGTAGAAACACCCACTACATTTCATAAACGGCTCACGATGTGCTCCCTTAGCCTCTCTTCCTGCCACACGTTCTTTGGTTTCTCCATGCCCTTGACTCCATGCAACAAGAGTGTGTACCCTCCAGCCATATTCTCTTTCCTTTCCATCTTCACACCCTCTGCCCCTCTGCTTGAAACACTCTTCACCCAGCTCCCTCCCATTTCTTGTTGCAGGTTCTTTTCTGGCCCCCAGTCACCTCCTCTAGGCAGCCTTCCGTGACTCGCTCTGGTTTCCTTCCACAGCACCATGTACATCCTGCTGTTAAAATAAGTACCACCTTGTGTTGTAATTTTCTTTATTTGTCTAACTTAAGTATTTCCTCCTCTGTGCTGTAAGCTCCTTAAGGACAGGGCCTGTGTCTAACTGGGCCCATGGCCGGTATTCAATGAAAGTTTCTTGAAGGAAGGAAAGAGCAGGAACATTGTGATGCATGTTGACATGCCCATATTTACTTTGTGTTTTTCTTTCTCTTAAGATTCTACTTGGAGAAAAACAAAATGAAAAACCCATTTCCTGCCTTGTCTCCTGCTCTTCCTCAATTTTGTCTTCCAAATACCCTTCCCCTCTTTTTCTAACTCTTTCCAATAAAAGTCACTGAAAATTCCTGTGGTTGAGGGACAGTATACATAGAAGTAAAATCATATCGACTGGGATTTCAGGCAGAGTGCTTGCAGTTGGAAAGGTGCTCCAGTCCCTTAAAGATGCTCATGTACAAGATAAGGATTATTATCTCCTACTTTAATAGGTAAAATCTTAACCTTAGAGGCCTTAAGTTACTTCCCCAAGATCCCCTGAATTCTATCTCCAAATGCAATTTTCTTTCCACTAACTCGGACCTGCTGCTTTGTGTGACTCAAGCGTCTTCAGAGAATGAAGGGTAAAAGAGTACAGTGAAGCCTTGGGCCTGCCCCTGCCCTCTGCCCTCTGGGTTCTGGTTAAGTGGAGAACCACACTCGCCAGCCCATGGAAGAACGCTACAAGATGAGCACCTTTTGCCCAGGCAGGTGCAGTCCCAGTATCCCGGAGCAAGGCCCTCCCAGAGCCTGTGCTGGCCAGAGTGACAACTCAGCCCATCTGCCTGGTGACATGGGCCACAGAGAAGAGGCCTCTGCCCTTCATCTCGCCACGCCTCCACTCTGCATGGGTGCCTTTATTGCCTCTATCTCATTAGAGAGCTGAGAAGGCCTAAAGAGACCAATTACCAGGATAGTTAGGGTCTCAGAGAACTGTGACGAGTGTCAATTATCCACCGGAAACATCTGGCAGGAATGAAAGCCTCAAATAAGATGCATTTTATTCGTAGCCAAGTGACTCACCCAAGAACCACCCCCTTCCTTCGATTTTTCCCTCCCTCTAGCCACTTCCCTTCCAACTCCAAGTTAGAGAGAGAGAGAGAGAGAGAATGGGGTAAGCAAAGGGCAGCATGCAAGGCCAAGATCTAAGAAACTGTCACATTAGGGCATCTGTGTGCAAGGAAAGAGGCAGGCCTGGTACAGAGGAGCCCAGACATGGAGCTATTCTGGGCACTGACAGGTGCTCATTAGTGCTGCCAGTAAAGAGAAGTTAGATGTCTGCAAGTGGAAGCCACCCAGGGAGAGTGGGATGTCTTTGGAGACAGGTTAATAATCTAAATTGACATAGAGACAGCCCAAGGTCAGGGAAGGTACCCACTGGGCTGCTTCCTGGGGTTAGCTTAGAAGAGAAGGCATCTTGGAAGAAGGTCAAGAGTTTTGTATAGCCCATTCCCACCAAGGCAGAAGCTGCCTGGAAAATAAATATACCAACCTTTCCAAGTGGTCAGAGCTGTAGTTTTCACTTCTAAAAGAAATTAAAAACAAGCCACTGTTAAGGTAGAAAGCAGTCGGAGGCACTCGCTTTGCCCTCAGACAGTTTGGGGAACAGCCAGTGCTCCTGGCCCAGGGCCTTCTCCAGCCCTGGTACACTGGTCTCTTGCTGTCCTGACCACAGACCAGCCCTTGTACTTGCCCCTCTGTGGTTTGATGAGAAGTCAGTTGCCATAAGGTTGAGTTGGGGACCAGGGGAGGATAGGAATGACAGTCAGATCGGGTCTCTGACCCATCGAAAGCCACACATCCACCTTGTCTGAGCAGGGAACTCAGGAACGTCAAGCTTGAGGCCCCAAGCCAATAAATACTTCTTTGTAGAACTTTCTTTCTTTGGTCACCAGGCAATCCTCTAATTAGTTGAAGTCTAGAGGCCTTAAGTATAAAATTGGCTGATACAAATGGATTGCACAACAGCAATTTGACTGTAAGTACCCATGCTATGTTTGAGATGTAAAAGTTTGAGTGGTATTTATCTACACATTTTAGAAATACTGGGGAGCTAGCTTACTTGTACCAGAGGAGCCCAGACGCTTGATATTTGACTTCTCTTGATGTGTCAGACTAGCACGCTGGCCCCTAGGACTTTCTCTCTCTGGACAACCTGCAGCAATGAGCACCTTTTGCACTCACACATGCTGCTGCCCGCCTGTGGAGATGCTGGGGCGCCAGCTCCTCTCTGATGACCGGACCATGAAAGATCCCATTTCACAAACGTTGAGCTCTCAGAGCAATTCACAAAACCATGTCTGCTGATAGCAGATGTTCTGACTGGCCTGAAGTGGAATGATCCCTAATATTTTACTTCCCTCTTTAGCTGGGGGCTTCTGCGGTTGTTCACCCTGGATATAGAGAAGATGGAAAATCCTTGCACAATGCATATGTACATCAAATCAATAAGATGCACACTTGAAATATCTTATAATTTTATTTGTCTATTATACTTCAACAAAGCTGAGAAAAAAAGAAAATGACTTTAAAATTTTTTGCATTGAAGTGATACAATTCTCTGTGCAAAGGTCCTCGTGCAGAAGGAAAGAAAATCTAGATATAACTCAGCCTAAACTTAACTAAAACAATTGACCCAAATCAGTTGAATATGTACTTATGCATTCAAGCTCTCAATATATTCTTTAAATGGAGCTGAGATAAAATATCCCTCTTGATCTCAGTGGACATTAGCAACCTTGAGAAGCCACTTTGAAAAAGATGCAAGAGGTGATCCATGCTCAAAGATCAAAGGGGTGATTCAGAGAAGATCTGATGTAAAGTCCAGGTGGTGGAGAAAAGCCAGGAGTGCTGGTGCCGTGTTGTCTGTGCGTTTAACAAGGACAGTCCCTTGGAGTAATTACTGGGCCCTCGAAACCGGTCCAGAAGCTAAGGAGGGGCTATTTTCATGAATTGTCTCATTAAGGTACCACTGACTTGAATCTTTCTGTACCAAGACGGAGGGTAAACGGAAGGAGGGAGGACAGTCTGAAGAGGGAGTTTTGGAGGAATAAAGCAGTCACAGGCCTTTCACCCCCAAACCACAGACAATACAAATGTAGGGTGCATTGAGGGGACAGTAGCCCATAGAGTGACAGAAATGCTGGCAGATGGACACAGAGAAGGGCTCTGTTTGGTAGTTTGGGTTGTTGGAACTATCAGAAAGAGAAATAGATTGAAAGCATACATTCCTGCAGTGCTCCAGATACCAGAAGTTATCTTCCATAAGGCAAAGATATGAAGAGAACTTCAGCTTAATTGTTCTCATCCAGCTACTTTTTCCCCTGACTCTCCAACACATGCCACTTGAAAGAAGATCAACGCTCTTTAGCATCCACATAGTTAAAGGACTATTGGACACACATCCTTGACCTTAGCTAGAACTTATCCTTGGCCTTTTCCGGGTAGCCATATTTCAATTCTTCTAGTTGACTATAATGTGCCCCTGCTCATATCTCATCACAGTGAGGTGGGGAATGTAGCCAAGATAGTCTTTATATTTACTCTAAGCCCCTCATGCTGCACTCAAGCACATTCCCTTTGGTTTGGTACTAAGAAGAGATGTAGAAATGCTAACACTGTCTTCTATATCCTGCTTGCTGTGCTATCGCTATTGGGTCCAGATTCCAGAAGTATGAGCCTTGCTTGAGCTTCCAAAGTGAGTACTGGCTACACGCTCAAGTCTTCGCGTTAATGCTTAGCTAGCAAGAAAACAAACAATCCCTGAAAATCTAAGCGTGTATTTTCCTCACCAAGAGCTTGCCTGAAATTTGAGATCTTTTTGCCAATGAGAATCCAGGTAGAGTGGGAAAAAAAAAATTCAAAATAAAGGAAGAATGAAATAAAACAAAAAAGAATCCTTTCCCCCAACCTTCCAAGCCAATATTTCTGGTCAACCCATACAGTGATCTTTTTGCCACCAAAGCCAACTGAATTCAACTACTGAGGTAAGCAGAGGGCTGCTTGCTGTCTGGTTCTAGTGGGCACAGGAGGCTGGCCTCATGTCAGGATGGATATATGAACCTTCTAGAAAGAGGGTGATGGAATTTTCTTTTTACATCTCCTCTTATTTAGACACACGTGGCATAGAAATGCTAACTGCTGGATAGCTGGGCCTAATTAACTGTCTTTAATCCTCTGCAGGGAAGAATGGATCATCTCTCCTACTGTAAGTTTTTCATTCTGAATCAGTTTACTTTAGTCCTCCCTTCTTTAATAAGTTGGTTTGATAGTCACTGTGAGGTTCACAGGCATTAATCAGCCAACCTTTCCCTGCCCACTGATACCATCAAATCTGACTTAATGCCTAGGAGATAAAAGACAAAGGACCAGTGGATGGGAAATGAACAGCCACTAAGCCGCTGAGTTTGCAGCATGGGGCCTGGCACACTTGCCTATGAGGGAGTTCAGTGGGGGATGCTGACATGTCCCTGAGTCCTTATTCATCATGGCAGGAGTCCTGCTCGACCAAATATTAATACACGGGTGACACGCAATCTGTTGTGTTTGCTAAGGGGAGCAGAAAAATATTTCAAGGTGGCAGAAAATGCTGAGAAGGAATGAAATTCTCTTATCAGAATCCTTCTATTCCATCCAGATATTGGGTAGCAAAATATCTTGGAACTACTCTTCAAGCCAAGTGTTCCCTGTCAGTGGAAAACCACACATTCATGCAAATTTTTCTTGGTATTTGTCACATAAGATGGACATAACTTGGGGGTATTCCCTGAGAAAATGGGTAGCTCTCTATTGTATGGGAGACTAGCCAAGGAGGAGGAAAATAAAAAACACAGATGAATGAGGGAAATGCCTCAGGTGCAAGGTCTGTTTCCTCTAAAATATTTCTTAGTTGTACAGAGTCCAAGAGCTATACTGAAGACCACACTAATCCAAATCCTAGATCATTCTACATGTCTACAATCTACAACTTCTGGCCTTGACCCAGTGCCCTGCGCTCAATAAGAAGGGTGAGGGGTTGAGAGCATCTCAAGAATCAGAGGAGAAAGTTGGCATAGAGATCCTTTCACCCTCGTTCATAGCTGAGAGCAGAGGAAGGGAGGCCAGCTTCATCTCAGCATGTGGAGCCTGCCCCTGGCCCCGTGCTCAGCAGTCAGGTAGTGATTTGTTTGTTTCTGGTCGGGACTGTTATTGTCAGCTTAGGAGTGGGACGATGCTCCCTCTATCAGTTGAGTACATCTTCAGTTAAATACTAACTCCTTAGCAACTGCTACCCATTTTAAAACCTCTTATTCCCTCTGAGAATGAAGAGCTAAGTGATCAGAATGAGCTTAGTCACTTCTGAAAGCACATCCTGCAGCATCGCCTGTCTTAGTTCCAGTCTCTCAAATTTCCCTTTTACCATTTATTTAGCTACATTTCTAAGGCTCTCTATTTTAGATCCATGAATATGCTTTGCAAGGGGTTCAGTAAACATAAGTTGAATCATAAGTTGAACCTGAAGGCTTCCATTGACTTCACTTTTTCTTTGTTTCATTTTCCTGTTTGTAGTTCATCACCATGGCACTCTACATCACCAAGGTGAATAATGCAGCCCTGAATCTTTTCACGATAAAAATATTTTTCTCATCTGTCAAACAGCTTTCCATATAATTCATTTCCTTCCATCTCCTCCCCTACTTTCTAAGTCTGCCATCCTCTGATGATTGTTTGCAAAGCCAGAGGTGAATGGATGAACAGGATGGGTGTGGGGAGAGGTGGGATGAGAAAGGTCAGGGGATTGGGGCAAAAGGTGGACAAAGCCATTCCCCCCATTGTCATCACAGCTGCCTTCTTGTTGGGCTATCCTATGGTCAGCACTGTCCTTAGGAGAGGAACAGCAGCACAGGCAGCATGCATCCAATTCTACCACTTAGCTGGGCCCATTTCTGCCCAAATGCTTAGTTATGGTCTTAGTGAATCATTCACGCTAGGCTGGTGGGCCTTGGGAAAATTTGAAGAGTTGTGCAAATAGAGGTGAGAGATGCAGAAGTCATTCATAGCGAAGGGCTCCGAAGTGGAAAAGGATGTAAAGGGCTGGGGAGAAAGGCTTGAGAAGTGACTTAGTGAACCCTCTGACATGACACTGAGGGAAGTCCTTGTCTCTCAGCTTGCATCTGGAAATGGGACTTCAGTGATTCAAAATGTACCAAGCAGTTTTCAAAGCCTTTTTAATATGCATTCTCAGTTGAATGTTGGAACAACTCTAAGGTAGATAAGGCAGATCAATTCCAGTTTATAGAAGAGGAAATTGAGTCTAAATAAGGCTTAGTGACTTGTCCAAGAACACAGAACCACTAAATGTCAGGCTCTGCACTAGAACTCGGTTGCATCCCACTCCAGATCACTGCTTATTGACTACCACGCCTGTGGCACCATGCCTACCTTCCTCCCTTGGAGAACCTCAGTGTGAACCAGGTGGTGCATTTTTAGGGAATATTTGAGTCTTTCTGCACACAGTGTTTGCTTTTGCTGCTGAAGGCCATCAATAGGATTCTTGTTGTGAAAATTGTTTAGTGGGTTGGAGTTCTCTTCCTATTAGTTCAGACTCACTCTCTCAAACTTTTGCCTTCACACAGGTCTCTGTGCTTTGCAATAATTATGATGTTTCTTTTCCTTTCCCCCTCCCAGTCCTCTTGGGGAAGTGTGGGCAAGGGATGAGCGGAGAAAATGGAGCTATCCTTGGAGTTTCGCCAGCTCCCAGTAACCTCCTTAGCTTTCACTGCCATCCTCTAAGCAAGTTTATAGATAGAATTCTCCGGTAATGCATAGCAGCGGGGAAAGGGGGAGGGGAATGGGGTTCTGGGAGAAAGGGGAGGGGAGAGAAACCATAAAGCAATGGGGATACTGACCTTGCAACAAAGTTGAGCTTGTAGGCTCATTTAGTTCTAAATCGGGTGAGGGACATACAGGAGAGAAAAATGAAAACAAACACATATATTATATACAGTAGCTATATATTTGTCATATATAGTTTGTATACTGCCTTTCACAAACATTTTTGGAGGAATGGATAAATAAAGAAAGACACAAAAACCAAAGGTGGTAGGACAAGATGCAGCATGAGAAGCACCAAAGTGCTTTATGCGTCCATACTTGGATGCCACGGTTGGGAAGTGAGGGAGCTGGTCGCTTGCGTATTTTTTAGTGCAGATGAATTTACTCTTAGCTTGTACTGAGTTTGGGTACTGATTTGGTAACAAAGGACAAAAGTCCCTTTCCAGATGAGATTTTTGTCCCACATCCCCATCCCCATTGTTTCACTCTGGGAGACCAAGTTTAGGAATTTCTGATCCCATGGCACCATGGCAGGAACAAGGTTCCCCAGGAACCACGGTGACTCAGGATCATGGGAGCAGTACTCTCCGAGTCCCTTACAATCTCTGCAGTCTCAGGGATCAGGAGCTCAGAAACCTATTGGTTCACGACAGGAAGGCTCACCCCTGCCCCATTTGGCTTAAGTACCCTCACAGATAACGACCAGGATGGGAGCCTCCCAGCACCACCAGTCCTCACTTTTCAACGTTCAGATCATGTGCAGAGGGTGTGCAGCTTATGTGCAAGTTGATGGCAAGATGAAGATAATTTAGCTGGCTTTCTGTGATGCTATGAACTTCATCACACAGTTTGTATATTTGCATAAAGTAAATGCTCCTTTCCAAACTTGCATGTCTGCTTGATGGCTCTGAGCTGAGGGGTCTTCTGATAATGGGAAACGACACGAACAACTGCCTAATAAGTTTATATTTGTCAAACGGCCTTATCGACAGTGGGCCTCAATAGTGAGTTTAGGGGCTGCAATGTCTGGCCTAACCTCAGAGGGAGCCAAGGGGGTGCCAAGGGGGTGGAAAGGCCCACCGTGCGCATTAACAGGATTTCACTGTCCTGTCCACGGAACTCTGTCACCCATGAGGCATTTCCGGGATGGGGTCCTCAGAAACGGTCTCTCAACTGAGGCTAAAAACATTGGTTTCTGTTTGATTAAATTTGGAAAATGCTCCAAACTTTTCCTCCCTCTTAGAGATTTAGCATGTAAAGGGTCTGAGCCTTCCGCATTAAAGAACACCCCCATGCATACCCCATTCACCTTTCTTTGACTCCATCTTTCTAATTTGAATACATACAACCACTTTTGAATGTAATTTTTTAGAGAACCTTGAACTCCAGAAAGCTGGCAACTGCAGGCCCACCCCAAAAGATGCAGGGTGAATGCTGACAGACCAATGGGGGGTTGTTAACTGCCACACATATGTCTGCTGAAAAGAGCAGATTTATGACACAAGCTTCACCTTATTCCTTGTCACAAATGCCAGCTATTTCACTCTTAAAGTTTGCTTTTCCTCCCTATTCTCATCTTAAGATAGCTTAAGGGGAAGAGGCCAGGGAATTAGACAGTAGTGATAAAGCCAATTGCAAAACCATTTCATGCATCCAAATCAGAAGAGCAAGGAGGTCAAAGGTGGGGGAAAACTGTTTACAGGAATGAGGACTGCTGTGGGTGGAGGGGGGAACTGGGAGGGGTAGGAAGGAGAGCTAGGGAGAGCCTCAGATTTGCAAGGCACGGGAAGGGGGGTCCATTCCTTTCGAATTCTGGCCCTTTTGTGCATACAAACAGACACCTGCCAAAAAGCCAAAAAGGCCTGACAAATGTGAGGGGCAATTATGATCATCCCTGTGTGAAAGATGTCAGACAGATCAATCACTCTAATCACAGCTCTGCCCATTCTGAGCTACCAGCTCTGGGATCAAGGGCAGACTTCCCCTTCCCAGCCCTCTTGGATAAAGCTGGGCATTATGTGCTAGATAGAAGGGGGATAGAATGTGATTTGGAAACAGAGATGGGACAATGGAGCCCCACAGGTAGGTCATTCGGGGCAAGCTGGATCCACTGTGCCACAGAAAGGAAGTGGCAGGGCTGGGGGTGAGGGTGAGGTACTTGAAGCTATGGAGTTATCTGGGAGTTCTCAGAATAAAAGGATTCATGTTCTTGCCAATTATCTGCTAACTTCCTCACGTTTCCGTCCCCACCATGTTCAAGAGTGCTTGGTAACATGGAAGACTAGGAGAACAGATCTGAAAAATTCCAAGCTACCTGAACTTGTTGGGGTATGGAGGGCTTTGCCCCTAAAGAAAGCAGAAATTAACCCTGTAGCCCATAGGGAGAATGTGCACCCATCAAGGGATGGACACCATCACTGGATGCCTTCAGTCCTGCCCGATGACAGAGAAACGCATCCAGACTCCCTTCTGCGTGGTTGTTCTTCCTATGCAAGTTCCAGACATCCAGGGTCTACAAGGGAGCTCGTTTCTTTGTTTCCTTTACTTGATTCTGGCACCAATATAGATGCCAGATATGTAATGAAGACATAGCAATTTGCCTTGTACGCACTAGTCCTTCAATAAATAGGTGTTTAATGAATTAATGCATGAATGACTAGGTGACTCTGTCAGGATGGTGGCTTGGTTGAATAAATCCATCTCAATCCAGCCAGACAGCACCCTTTGATGCAAATGGAGAATGAGGGACATCCCCATTCTCTGTATTAATTCTCCCCATGAAGCTAATACTATTCAGGATCCCCAGGCCCAAGATTCCACTTTTATAAATATAATTTCGTTTCTTCTATGAACCACTGGCCAGAAAAAAGTTTCAGAAATGGTAACATTTTACACCAATCCAATGAACAAAGTATTTAAATAGTAAATGTTCCTCTCTGGGCCGTTTACTATTATACCCAAATATAATCCCCACAGTTAGTTTAGGAGATAGCACTGAAGAGAAGAGATTAAATGTCACTTTGGCATCCCAAAGCCCTTTTCTCCTGTCTCAGGATTTTTCCCGTTATAGAGTCAAACAAGAATGTTTCTTTTCCCACTGCCAGTATCTACATTCATACATGCTCTAGTTCTCTCTCTCCTCTTTCTCCCTCTTCTCATTTGCCCCTGCCTGACTAATTCCCAACGCTCTTCGACTTGCCCCTCTGGGCCTTCCTTCCCAATTCCTCTTCCTCCATATGAACCCTCCCCTCTTTCACTGCCCAGCTCAGCGCTCAGTCTTACCAAATAGTGTGATGCTGGCATTGGTGTGGCCCAACTTATTGGAGGCCACACAAGTGTAGTTCCCATAGTCATGTTCAGAGACATTGAAGAAGATGAGTTTTGAGAGGAAAGGTCTGTTTTCCACTTTGACCCCCTTCTTTCCTTCAACCAGTCTGAGACAAACAAGAGAGACAAAAAAAGAAAAAAAGGAGATGGTTATATTTTTCTCATAGGAAGAAGACAGATTCTAGAATTAATGATCTTCTCATTGCCCCTGCTCTGACATCATTATAATCACTATGTTTCCATTCAAGTATACAAGAAGTTCACACACAATGATACATATAATTGTATTTCTCTCTTTTTATGTATGTGCCTGGAGATACTTGTGGCACTACACAGATAATCATCTCCCTATACAGATATTTAAGTTCTCTGAAGGCAGGTGCCTTCAACAAACACGATGTACCAGTTGTGTAACATGCAGAACAATATTATCGATGCAGTAGGTACTCAAAAGTGTGGTCTTAATTGATGTTGCTGCTGGTGACAATGAAGATGATGATGGTGATGATGATGACAACCATGAAAATGAAAAGCTCAATCTTCAAAGAGAAGAAAAACCTGAGAGGTTTTAAGGAACAATATTTTTCAAGCACCTGAGTAATAAAATTTTCCCTTAAAACTTGATCCATTCTACAAATGATACCTAATTTTTGGCTGTGGATAGGATATAAAAATCAGGGATCACTTTAATATCAGGGACTCTGAAGGGCTTGGGAAAGGTGATCTGCCCAGAATATCATAGCAGCTCAGTCTGAGAAGGATGATAGAATCCCAAGCATATGACCCTATAGAGCCAGGACAGTCTCCCTGAGCAAGCCACCATGGCAGTCCAGTGGGCCACAAGGGTACATAGTGGTGGTGGGGGCCACTAAAGAAATGCCACATATAGTTAGTGGGGAGGACGGATATGCTTTTTAGAACCATGGATACCATTCCTGGGCAGTTGCAGAAGGTAAGAAGAAAGCTACTTTAGGGCTTGGCAGGGCCATATCTTCCATCGTAAAAGGCTGATAGCAGCAATTCCTATTAAAATCGCATGTCTCTATGGAAATTATGAGACCAACTCTCTTCTTTTTAAAAACTCTGGAATGTCCTATTTCAGAGAATGGGCTTTAAGCCAAAATTTACTTTCCCTGCAATAATTTGTCTTCTTTGTCCAGAAGTTGAGTCCATGCTTCGGGAAAGATGAATGCTAGTGGGAAAAAATACTTCTCAGTGGAGGATCTCAGGGAACATTGTCACAAACCTAAGTTGCCTGTTCATGGCCTGGCTGGAGCAGGACGTATGGAGAGTAAACAATGTCAGGGTGGACGCACATTGGAACAGACTCAGGGGACATGAATTGGGACAAATGGTTGGTATCAGAGTCATCAAACCAAGAAAGGCTATTCAAGGCAGAAGCAGAAAGCGAAGCCCAGCAAGATAATGATGAGAAAATGCTTTGTAAAGTAGAAAACGTTATTTAATATAATATATTTCTATGGCATTAGCTGTCGAGAACTCCATCCTGGCCCTGCATCACAGTATGTTTTTGGGATAGAGGGCAGCTGCTTTGTCATTATCTGAAGGTGTTGTCTCTGTAGCCACACAAAATGATTCTCTCTACCGCCAGAACTTACCAAGATCAGTGACCAGAAGAGAGAGCCAGGCTCTGGTTTGAGTTGTCACTCAACATCTGTCTCCAGGGAAGTTAGAAGGTTGTTTGGAGGGACTTGCCTTGGTTTTTGCTATTTAGATTTTCCTCTGGTAGCCTTTCTCTCTCTAAGCTAGGGGCAGTGAATCGGCCTTAGTCCATGGACTTCATTAAAATGTGAGCACTGTGGAATGGACTGAGGCACCTGGCTGTGCAGCCAGACGCCACCATTTCCAGCTTGTCATGTAGACACTGATCCTCTAGGGGGTGATGTCCCAAGAAGGCTGTACACCCATCCACCAGGAGGTTTCTGAGAGCTCCTCAAGCATATTGGTCCCATTTGCCATTTTGACGCCATTCCTGGGCTGGGAAGGAAGCCTTCACGTCAGAACCAAGCTGTGAAGGAGATTTCAGTTCTGCACTGGGCAGACACTTACTGAAAGCAGGTTCCTGCTTGACATCTCTGAAACACCATTAGCTGAAAGCAGCGTAGGGCAGCCGGCAGCATTGCAGCACTTTGCAGATTCTGACAACGCGCTTGCCTTTTTTCCATGTGGTGCCATATCCCCATCCCACACTGCCACTAGGCTTTAGTTTCTTAATGAACCAGTAGGCTTTTCATTGGATCATGCTCCCGTGGATGGGTGGCCCTTTTGCATACAGCCTTCCATTTCCTCTCCCTATGATTCATGACACACAGTGGCATGCAGTTGAGTGGTGCTACTATGCAGTCAAAGCATCTAGATCTACCTTAGACCTAAATTTTGAGAAAACTGACTGTCCCCATCACATAGACTCCTTTGATTTGCCTCAGAACTTTGCTTATCTCACTGGGAATATGAGCTGGGTTAGAGCTTCCCCCAGGCCAGATGCAATGTGACATCTGAGACCTGCCTGGAGGAGGTGCCTGCCGCCTTGGCGGCATGAGAAGGACTGGCAGCAACAAGGACTGAGAGGCAGAGATGTTCTTGTTGAGCTGGGTGCCAGGAGGACAGACAACTCCATTCAATGGAGAACACTGGAAATAAATAAATGAGCAGCAAGTGGAAAACTGACCAGAATCAATTAAAGGGGAGAGAAGGAGCTGTCAGGAGAAGAGCTCAGACAAAGGAGGCATCAAAGCTGCCTGAGCCAGGGCCTCTGAAACCCTCCCTGGCCATGCCGTCTGCCTTTCTCCTCCTGGGTGAATACTGGCAGAGGCTGTGGCCCCTCCTATGATGCAGCCGCCCTGCAGAGCGCAGCTCTCTCTCCCTTTTTCTCACCATTGGCCACTTTTGCCTATGACCTTCTCTACTTTCCTCCACATATTTTAAGATCTTGCTTTCCCCTACATTTTGCTTGTACTTTTCTCCCATAAATAATTAAAAAATAGGATACAGCTGATTAATTTTCATGACAACCTGGACAGTCAAAGGTTCAGGAACTGGCCCTGTAGCTCTGTAGTATTTTCGTTCTTGTTGATTTTTCTGATACTGGAACTTCAGGCCTCACTTTTCCTCCTGGTACCACGAGAACGGAGGGAGAGACCAGTGAAGCATGGTTTCTAAGAAAGGTAACCATGTTTATTTATTGGGGAAATACTACTCCCCTCTGCTTGATTCTGAATTCCTGGAAAAAGGGGGAAAGCCAGCTACTTCTTCTTATCTCTTATGAGTTTGCTTTTCCTTTTTCTGCCTCAGTTCTTTCAGCTATAAAACGGGCTGGATGAACACAATACACCGAAGAGGCTGCCAGAACTTGTACTTAAAGGAGAACAAGCACTGCTTCGTATTTGGAAGGATTGTGATAAGACACAACGAATCTTGTGACTAAGTGACTTGGTTCTAAACAAAATTCAGCGATTGATTCAGAGACTGGTGAGCTTTTGGTGACTGACCGACCTCAAAAGGAAAGAAACGTAAGGCACCTTAAAGATGTCCTAAGTCATGTGGCAAGAGCTGGGTGGCTCCTGGCCTGGACTCGCTCACACCGCTTCCCTTCTCACAATTCCCCCCTTTGCTGTCTTCCCTTCTCAGCTTCTCAGCCTCCGTAATGCCTTCCTCCTTATCCACCCCACATACACAGCAGGACTCTTTCGCCTCACCCGTCCTCGTTTTTATGAAAGTGTTCTGAACATGGACAGCTCTTGCACATTTATTTGTTGTTCATCCACCTTAAAATAGCTCTTTGATAACAGTAATTGTCATGTTGCCTGGCTGTACTGAGCTGCTGAACCCTGTGCTAACATGCCATTTGAGAACTCCTCGCAATGACAGTCTTCCGTGAATCACAACAAATACCCTGATGATGGCTGCAACATGGGAGGGAAGGGAATGGTCACCTCTCTTTTCTCCTACAGGGAAAGAACAACCTGGGCACGAAGGGCGGGCTAAATCGGGTCATGGGCTCTTTGGTACCCAACTACTGACAGAGTCTGCAACCGCGCTGGAGACCTCTGGCTACCGCTAGCTTGTAAGCCACTCCCAGCACCCGTGAGCATTCCTAATGCCTTCACGCAGGACTGAGGATGTGTTAAAAATAGCTTCAGGCAGAACATATTATTTTCTTGGCCTATAAAACATTAACAAGCCTTCCAATGTCCTGGTGGCCTTTCCTTTGAGATTTTACTTTCCTAAAAAAATGTTTTCTTTCAGGCTTCTTGGCAGGCAAGTGATAAGTCTGCATAGCCACATTAAAAGCATAGCTGAAATTCATTAATATTAAGAAAAGACTGGTTTGCGTATTGTTTCCGTTTTACAGGTAGGAGGAATTCCGAAGAGGATTTTACAGGGATTCACTGGCAACCATCTGGAATCAGCAACCTGCAAAGCTTCCCTCTTCCTGGGGAGCAGTGTGGGAGGGAGGGAGTCCTTACCTTTTGTCATCCTTGTACCAATGGAATTCTGCCGAGGGAACTGCTGAAGCTTCACACTGCAGTGTCCCCTTTTGTCCCACGGGAACGCCTGTACCCTTAGCTTCTGAAATGTATGGTGGATCTGCAGAGAGAAGATGTCCTGTGGCATTTTGAAATGCATTCTGAAATGAGGCAGGCTGCCTCAGTCACTGATTTTGTTTTCCACTCCCTGCTCCACATCTGCTTACTTGAGCTGATGAATTGCTATACAAATTGTGCCAGAGAATGAAACCACTCAGTATCGTTCTAAGGAAAAGCCAGGTCTCCCTGGCATGTATTGCTTCTCTTCTCCATACAGAGGTGGAATGACCAGGTATTCAGGCATATTTCCTGTCTAAACTTTTTAACTTTCAAAGGATAATGCCAATCCATCAACCCTACACTCCAGGGGTTGCCAGTCAGAACCTTTAATCAGCCTTACAGGATTTCTGCACACCAGGTTCTTGCCAGAGTATATAACCTCGAACTATTCAATTCCCATCAAAGGTTCAGTTGCAAGAAATAATATTCATGGAGAATTACCTGAACGATATACAGATCAGTCATTCTTCTAGGTATTCTAAAATGGATCCCTGAATCAAGCCAGACCAAATGAGACCTATACACTTGGTCGGCATTCATTCGAAGTCTTTACCTGACTACCGTTGACAATTCCAACAGTTTTCATTGAAGAGCATTATGAAAAACAGCCATAATAGACTTGCAATTCTATTTATGGTGGAAACATCATATTGATGTTGTTGACTATATCTCAAATAGCTCTATTTGTGGAGATCCTAAAGAGAAATTTCTCTTGGGTCTTAGTACTAGGAAAAGCAGTGTTTCTCCCAAGAAACTAGTTTGCTTTTATCTATGGACACAAACTTTAAAGCAGATGATATGTTCCCTTTTTTCTTCAGCAACTCAAAGCCAAACTCTGGACCCACATCTAACCACCTTGTGGTATATATTTCATACACTGATTTATCCCTAGCTTTCACTTATTTTCCTAAATCTGTTTTCTCTTTGCTTACATTTCCGTATTTTTTAGGTTAGTCTTTATTAACTGTAAGTCATCTTAAGTCCCTTTTTATAAAATTTGTGGTAGGTACAAAAAATGGTAGCACTGTTATATCTATTTCCTTGCTTCTTAAAGAGCCCTGTACTAATTAGGTTCACATTGTAACATAAACCAAAATTTTAAAGGAAAGAATGAGTAACAAAATACACAATATTCTCCCTCTCCCTCCACCCACCCTAGTTTTGAAGGAGAAAGGCTTCTTGTCTGCTGGTTTAGTCCTTGGGTTCTACTCGGTTATAAGACTTCCTGGAGTGGGCACAGCAGAGAAAACTTTCAAAATGTCATAAAGAACTGAGTCAACGTACATAATAAGGACTCAAGAGGGGAAAGGGTGAGAGAGAGGGGTGGGAAAGCGGAGTAGAATCAACGTCCGAGACCATTTGGATGGTCAATAAAGAATGAGAGGTCTAGTGGCCTCCAAACCTTCTGGACTCTGTACCTCTATGAGCCAAAATTAGGTTTGAGATACACCCTCTAATATGTGCATGTTTATCTATTTATATGCAAATTATGAATGCACACCATGTACATAAACATATATAATTGTAAAAGAATGAGATAAAATAAATATACTATAAGTAGAAATTGTAATATTTCCTTCATACACAGAGTTTTTCTTCTCCCCATTATTGAGATGACTGTCTAGAGAGTGAGAAGCTTGGAGACATTATGAGTAAAGTGTGGGAAAAACTGGGATTCAAAGACACGTTTATATAAATCATGTACTGAATGCCATTTAATGATTTTCTAGGAACGTAAGTCAAGTTTGGGATTATATTAAATTACTTTGAGCTACAATTTTTTTTAACTACAGTTTGGAGTTGTTGCTCTTGAAAGCAGAGAATGGACAATGACCCTGCGTTATTTCCCATCCTGAGTCAGAAGTTGGTTCTGCCATCCAGCTCTTTCTTGTGGCCACGACAAGAGCCAGCCTCATACATATGCGGATTGGGGGTTCGTGGGACCACTTACAGTTTACGGTGACCTTCACTCTCCGTACCACTGGTGCGGCCACATCATTGGAGGCGCTGCACTCATAGTCCCCCGACTGCTCCCGCGTGATGCCCTGGATTTCCAAGTATTCATCTTCACTCACAAAGCCCACCGCTGCAGGAGAAGAGGTGGTGAAGTAGGAGAAAAGACACCAAAGGTATATACTTAGAAAATAAAGGATGGGACTGCTTGTGTCTGCAGAGAATTGTGCCGCTTCTAAGTTCAGATTCTTAGGAACTTAAGAATCTGACTCTCCCTCCCCCTGCTCTTCTGTGGCTTCTATCGCCGACTCTTCTTTAGCTCCCCAGCGGACCAGCTGAAATGATTGTGTTCCTACCTGGCCTAAGCACAGTGCCCAGAGAATTACTGGCACTCGACAAGTGATTAATAATCTTGACATTTACACTGTCCGAATCTTACCAAGCAGTCAGGCTCTGGGATCTGAGTTAGGCATCGTAGGAGAATATTAAGTCTTTCTGATCTCAACATATTGTTTAGCCTGAACCTTGAAGTTTAGAGTCGATGGCTGCATCCCAGACCACGAATCAATTAAAAATACCACACTAGTATTTACACACACACACAAGCCACAAAAGGCAGTGGAAACACCAATAAAATAAATTCAAGTTTCTGTTTTTAGATTTAGACACTCACTTAGAGGAGCAGAAATCAATTTTCTAACTTCAATCTGCTGGAGCACTTGGGTACAAGATCCTGAAGACAGATAACAACAGAGACTCTACACCCTAACCTCAAACACAGCAGAAAGTAAAGAGCAAGAAAACATGGCTGCAAATCTTGCTTTGTCGGTTCACCATCCTAAGACTCAGTTCTCTACTCAAAAATTATGAATCATAATAACAGCTTTCTACCTACTGGACTTCCTGCCTGAGGTCTGGCCATGAGCACTCAATTATGGCAAGACCATGACGTTAGAGCCTAGAAGGCAGATTTCACCGTTCGCTCTCCTCGTCACCCTGAGCTTCAGCCTCCTTGGGGGCAGACGAATGTAGACGGAGAGCGAAAGTAACTGCATACATCCCGGGGTTATCCTGCCTCCTCTGTGAAGTGAAGATAATTAGCCTGATGATATATTTTATTACATAAACTGGTATACTTTTAAGAATAAAGGGGTGCTATTAATAGTTACTATGGGACAATAAGCATAAGTTGACACTGTCCTTGGCAACTAAGAGACATTTTCTTAGACATAACATGCATACAATCCTCACAACTCAGAGGGCTGTTTGGAGTAACAGATGAAGAAATATATACGAAAGCACTTTGAAAACTCTTATGTGCTGCCCACCTGTTGCCTCACTTAGTAATCCTGTAATCTGTCTGTAGGCACAGACTCAGGTGGAATGAAGCTACAATAACATGAGTGGCCCCACATGAGTGGAAAGGGAAGAATGGCACATTTCTCTCCAGGTGATGAAACCCCTCCATGACGCCACATGTATCTGCTGATCCAAAGGGTGTAAATGACAACAGTAAGAAACTAACATAATACAAAGAATCATATATGTGGTATGTAAGTTATGGTTATGTTTGTACTGTAACATTGTTAAAGTAACCATTTTTGTCAAGATAACAGTAACAATGACAATGACAATAACAAAACAACTATCTTGTAAAGAAGGGCCACTACTTGCCCAACTCTGCCGCCATTCTTTGTTCATAAGTCTGCGCCACCATCTAGCAATATGCCCAGTCTGAGCATTCCCTTATGTATCTTCATGCCATATGGAACCTAGAATATTTGTGCAGAAATTCTCCTACCTCTATTACCTATGGAAGAGCAAAAGACAGCCTGTATCTATTACAACAAAAAGGCAAGAGTTATTCAATTCACAAGAAGAACCAAGAACATGCTACTAAGTAGAAAACGGGGCCCCAGATCCAGGATATGGAGAGGACAAGCAACGTTAACCCATACAAAGTCACACTCCCAATCCCTAAGAAACTTCTAATTGTCACAGTAGTCTTTACTATTGCTATTTTCTAAACATCTTTGGGGGAAAAAGTACTAACCTTGATTTGAGGAAGGGTGGAAGAAATGAGGAGAAAAGGTTTAAATGAAGAATTTGTGATTCCTTTTATGTTGCCGTTGTTTATTTGCCACCAACCTCAAGCCTACATTTGTCAGATCTGTCCCTGCTAGAATGCTATAATTACTGTGCAAAGCATCTCGGAGACCAGTGTCACACTTAATATTCCCATTAATTTTAAATGGTAGTCCTTGGTACATATGTGTGGCAATTGGTGTCATATTTTAATTAGGCTTGCCCTACACCATCTGAAATTAATAATAGCTCAAATTACTAGTGTAATTTATAAATTAACAGTGCCGTAGCATTAGGAAATAAATTAGCTCTGGACAGCTGTTTCTGGATTGAGTTCCAGTGTCGGAGCAGTGACTGGTAGGACCTCAGATCTCCTGGGAGGCTGTGTACTACACCATCAAAGCAGGGAAACAAAAAGACACAGAGTTCTCTGGCTCTCTTGCTCTTCTCTCCAACTAGAGACCATGCATCTGTTTTAATTCTACCATCCAAATATGTTCTTGTGTGACCAGAGTAAGATTTCCAGGGACCAAGCTTGGATGAGCTTGTTGTATGGACATCTAAATGGAGAAGCAAGTTGGGGGGACTACAGCCATGGACTGAAATGCGAGTACACAAATATTAGGGTGATCACAAGCAAGAACTGATCAAGTTTTCTGTGGAGATGTGTTAGTAGATGTGTAATTTTATTTATTAATATCAGGCGATCTTACATAGGGAAGGAAGTTGGTGGTTTAAGACGTGGGGAAGGCATATGTCTCCACCAATCCAGACGGAGGGGAGGATTTACTCTTAAGTCATCCTGCAAAAACCAACGAGGCTTTGTTTTACTATCATCTGCTCCCAAGACCAAATGTAGCTTATAGAAAAATCACAATGACTCCATTGCTCACCAATTACTATATGCACACCTTCTGATTAAATTGGGTAAGGCATAGGAAAAGCAATTTGTATCTAGTGAAATGCTGTATACATTTTGGCTGTCATTGTCATTATTTCCCCCTTTCTCCTCACATACTTTTTTCTCTACCAGAAGCATACAGGGGAAAACCAGTGAGAAAGACAATCAGTACACACATAAATTACATTTTGAACCACCACAAAAGAGATTCCTATAGGGGCTGCTTAAAATGAACAAATAAACAAACAAGACCCACAAAACTGAAATCTGAATTTATAGATTTAATGATTCAAGGAAAGTCTTCCTTTAACAGCATTTGTACTCTGGCTGTGAAATGATCAATGCTTTATCACTCCTATGAAGAACTCGCAAAGAATATTGGAGGGGAAGAAAAACCAGATCAACAGAGCAGACTTTTTAAAGTGCTAAGGGAAACTCTTGATTAAGAGCTACCAGTGGGAAAGAGGCGAATCACTTGACAAAACCCTATGAAAAGAAAGTCTTCATGGTCAATAGCTTCTCATTTATAAATCTTTCTTTTCTAAAGAAAATGCATCCTCAGGTGGAAATGACACACTCATCTTCCTAAAATATCCGCATCATCATGCCACGCCTCTTTAGACCCTAAAAATGGCTCCCAAGTTTCTGTAACATCAAACACAAACTTCCTTGCTTATCAAAGCCCTTCATGAAGTGGCCCCAATCTACTCGTCCAAACTGACCTCACGTGAGTGCCGGGGGAAAGGCAACAGATCATCGCGGCAAAAAGCCAGAGTCTGGGATTGGACAAAGCCAGTCCTCTGCCCTCATGTTTCATGATTTGTTCAGTTACCTAACTCCTATGTGCCACCATGTCTTCATCTCTACAACTCACTTAGAATAATAGTACCTACCTCTAGGGTTACTTTGAGGATGGAACGCACATGGAATGCAACTGGAACAGTGAAAGGCACGTGTTAAGTTTTTGGGTTCTTTTGGTTTTTTGTGGGGGAGATGAGGAAGATTGGCCATAGGCCAACATCTGTGCCAATCCTCCTCTGTTTTGTATGAGGGATTCGGCCACAGCATGGCTGATGAGCAATGTGTAGGTCCATGCCTGGGATCTGAGCCCACATACCCCAGGCCACTGAAGTGGAGTGCACAAACTTAACCACTACACCACTGGGCCAGCCCCACACAAGTTAAGTTTTTACAGGTGTTAGCTACCATCTATTATCATTATCATCACCACACCACTACTGCATTTCTGAAGCCAGGCTGTGCTATTTTTCATCTTGGACAAACATGAGTATTTCTTTTTCACAGATTGCTTCTATCACTTAGAAAGCTATGCTTTTTCTGTCATCCTAAGAAAATACCACCTAGCATTCAAATTCCATTTCTTCCATAAAAACTCCCTGTTATGGGTTGAATTGTGTCCCTGCAAAAAGATATGTTGAGGCTCTAACCATCAGCACCCCAGAATATGACCTTACTTAGAAATAGGGTCTTTACAAAGGTAATCAAATTAAAATGAGGTATTAGGGTGGGCCCTAATTCAATGTGCCTGATGTCCTCATAAAAAGGGGAAATTTGGACACAGACTGACGTGCACTGAGGGGAGATGATGTGAAGATGCACAGAGGCCACGTGACTGCAGGGAAGCCTCCACAAGCCAAGGAAAGCCAAGGATTGCTGGCAGACACCAGAAGCTGGAAGAGGCAAAGGCAGATTCTCCTTTGTGGTTTCAGGGAGAACACGGCCCAGCTGACACCGTGAGTCTGGACTTCCAGCTTTCAGAACCATGAGACGAGGCCGTTCTGTTGTTTAAGCCATCCAGCTTTCGGCACTTGGTTATGGAAACCCTTGGAAACTAACACAGTCTGGTCTACCTCCTAACTTGCACTGTCTATGGCTGTCCTGAGGTCATCCAGTCTTTGAAATCATAAAATAATTGACGAGCTTAGAGGGACATTAGTGATCCTATAATTCTACAGTTGCCATGCTAGAACACAGTCTGCCTTCAGGGGAATTCCCTAGAATGGTGGTCTCCACATAGATTTCTAGATCCCACCCATACATACTGAATCAGAATCTCTTGGGATGAAGAGTTTTAATAATTTTGCTAGGAAATTCTCAGGTATAGCCAAGTTTGGAAATTAGTGATA